TAGGAAAGGCAAGAGTAAACCAAGATTGGTTGCAACATGAGCTTAGTCCTGGGAACTTGGAATGTTAATTTCGAAAATGTAAAATATGGTTATTTTTAGCATTTTACCCAAACATTTAAACCATAAAAAGATTTCAGTATTAAATTGATTTTTTATTGATAAAATATATTTCATAGTTACACAAAATTCGAAATTTACGCGAAGGAAGTTTTTAAGTTTCGTAATCAGTAATTTTCATGAATTCGTTCTGTATTACTCGAATACATAGAGACATTTTAAATTCTGTGGTTGAAGACAAAGCATGAGAACCCCCTCCCCCCTCCCTACATCCGTCCCCATATTCTTAGAAAATTATATTCTAATTTATTATTAAATAGATACATTTAAAATTATGAAATTATTGAGAAACATTGAAAAAAATATGTTCGTGTTACTGTAAACAAAAATATAAAAGTATCTTTAATTTTTGATTGTGCAATTTTGTGCGGATTGCTTTATATGAAAATTGATAATTTTTTTTAATTGTCAACGCAAAAAAAATGTTTTTTCGCTCTTTCCACCCTGTAAAATAAATCGTGCACTTGCTGTGATGTGATACCCCCCTATCCCCGGGTCCCACCTAGCTTTTAACCCCCCTCCCCCATCTTGTTGTTTTTACAGGCCTCACACTCACATACAGACAATAAACTTTAATTCAAGGTTCAGCTAACTCAGGTAGCATTTAAAGATATAAAAACCCTGAATGTAAAATCATGTGAAATCAACCAACCGTAGTTTTACAGACTTTTCCATTTTCATAAACAATCAGAAATCATGGAAAATCCGAAAAATATTTGTTCGACAAATTATTTTAAATAAATTATTATTTTTTCAAACAGTTCAATTAAAATTGCAAAATTGATATTCTTCAAGATTTTTGATAAATTCATCTTTTTTTTGTAACAATTTTTAACATATTTGACTAAATAATAAAATATGTTTACAATTGTATTCTTATCAAATATTAAGTTTTTGTTGTTGGCATTTTTACGATTTTAATCTCTCTCCCTAATACTTTTATAAATAATCAACTTCCCTTATTGACATATATGAATATCACAAAATATATAAAAACAATTTAGTATGAAAAAATATTTAACCTATTTTAACATTTTAGGCAAAGGTTTGCATTGCATGCTTGTTAAAATGAATGATTCTTCAAAAAATCTTAATCTTTAAAAATGCCCCTTGAACAAGAGAGCCCAGAATAACTTAAGTTAAACGTAAAAAGAAAATCAAAACAGTGTCTGAATTTAATGAATTTAATCTGCGTATTAAATCCCCAAAAAACCGGTTTCAATTAAGCGCCGGCTTAAATCTTGAAGAATTTAAAACAATTTTAAGTGGAACCAACCATATTTTAGCAGCGGCTCAAATTCTTTAAATTCGGCCTCAGTTCTATAAGCTATACTTTTTCCCCTTTTTAAATAACTCGTTTCTAATTTCTAGGGAATTATTATTTCTTTATTAAGTATAGATTAGATAGAGAGATAGATATATAGAAATCTATATAGATAGATAGATACATAGAAATGTACTAAGGATAGATAGATAGATAGATAGGTAGATAGATGAAGAAATTATTGCCGAAGGGTTGATTACATATCTTTGAGTCCAGGTAAACTGTATGTAACTGTATCAGATGCTTAGAAACCTCAATATTCTGATTCACGTTTCAAGTTTATTCTTATAGATACAGTGGGACTCATTAATCTATTCAATAAAACTTTTAGAATCAAAGTTTTGAATTTCAATAGTTTATTAAAACACAGTAATTGTGCAGTCTAAAGGATCAAATGGTTTTCAAGCGATTTGTAAAAGAATTTGTTTTAAAACAACATTTAAATATGAAGACGATGGCTTAATTGTGTGGTCTCCTTAATCAACGGAATTATGGGCCCCACATTTATTTCTATTCTTGTTGGTTAGTACGTGTTATATAATTATTAATTATCCCTATATCTGATCTAGGAAAACTCGTTGAACTAGAACCAAGAATTTTACAGAAATTAACGGGTTTATTGCCGAGAGTCTTTATTCTTAAAATTTAAAAACCTATGAAATTAAAAATCCATTTTACCTTTAGCTGTTCTCGTTTAACCGAGATGGTTACCCAGTTATCCGTCGCGAATGCAATCGCGAGCAGAGCGATTGAAACTAAACTAAAAATCGTCGCGAAAGCCAACGTCATGGCACTGCAGAACCCCATGGTTAGATTTAGGTAACTAAACACTGAGTTTATATCACAGGTTTGATCCGAGTTTCGGAGATTTGAACGGAGTTTGTCTGGTAACCTCTACGCCAGGACTGGTTGGTTTACGGGGGGCCCCCAACAAGTCCTCTATATTTAATACACGAATGCAGTCTACCATCTTAATCTAGTTCTTTTACATATCAACGAACATCTATATTGTCAAAATTTATATATCTTTCATTCTTTTCTTATTTTTCAGTTCAACCAACCATACTTCCATTATATCTTCCACCTTCCATACTTCCATTCCCTTCCACCTTCCATACTTCCATTATCTTCCACCTTCCATACTTCCATTCCCTTCCAACTTCCATACTTCCATTCTCTTCTATTAACCATCATTCATACTTCTATTCTCTTCCATTCTCTTCTATTAACCATCATTCATACTTCAATTCTTTTCAACTAGCCATACTTCCATCATCCATACTTCCACCCTCTTCCAATTTCTATAATTCCATACTTCTATCAACCATCATTCATACGTCCATTCACTTCCTACAGCCATACTTGCATCTTCCATACTTCCATTCTCTTCCACCTTCCATACTTCCATTCTGTTCCTCTATCTTCTATTAACCATCATTTATACTTCACTCTTCCACCAGCTATACTTCCATCCTCCATACATCCTTTCTCTTTCACCTTCCATACTTCCTTTCTCTTCTATTAACCATCATTCATACTTCCATTCTCTTCAATTCTCTTCTATCAACCATCATTCATACTTCAATTCTTTTCCACTAGCCATACTTCCATCATCCATACTTCCACCCTCTTCCAATTTCCATAATTCCATACTTCTATCAACCATCATTCATACTTCCATTCTCTTCCTACAGCCATACTTGCATCCTCCATACTTCCATTCTCTTCCATCTTCCATACTTCCATTCTGTTCCATTATCTTCTATTTACCATCATTTATACTTCACTCTTCCACCAGCCATACTTCCATCCTCCATACTTCCTTTCTCTTTCACCTTCCTTAGTTCCATTCTCTTTCATTATCTTCTATTAACCATTATTCATACTTCCATACTCTTCCACCAACCATACTTCCATCCTCCATACTTCCATTCTCTTATATAAACCATCCTTCATACTTCCATCCTCCATACTTCCATTCTCTTCCACCTTCCATACCATCTCTTCCTTTGTTGATAGTTTCAATACATCATTTTTAATACCATCCATTTCTTATATTTTAGAATATACCTTATATCGTTTTTCTATTAATTCCCATATTTTCTCCGTCAAAGTTTTACTAATCAATGATCCAATACTTGAATAGATCTACAATCTACATATTTACATTATATTAGTTTCATTCTCTTTACACGTCTAACATTGATGTTGATTGATCTATCAATGCTTCCATTAATTAATTTTGATAAATCTATTTGGCAGTTTGAAGTATTGTGATAAAGTTGTCTAATTTATATTTCTCCAGTGTGCTAATTATGCTTCAAATTCATCCTTGGAATAATTAGCAACCTATCCTTTCCATCCTGCTCACTAGCTATTTACAACTAGCTGTTTTAAAATTATACTTTCATTGTAAAGAATGTTTTTTTGTTTTTAGCTCAAACCGTCGATGATGAAAAAACGTGCGTGATAACTAAGCATTACAACGTTCTCAATATAAAATACCACTTTAAACTTTTCAACTTCAGGGATATTTTCCAAAACGTGCTATATTAGGGATATTTTCCAAAACGTGCTGAATTAAGGATATTATTCAAAACGTCCTTAACGATATATTATACAAAACGTGCTTAATTAGTATTATCATTCAAAACGTGCTTAATTAGGGATATTATACAAAACGTGCTTAATTAAGATTATCATTAAAAACGTGCTGAGACCAAACTAAAGAATTCTGGTTTTGATAGAATTATCCTTTTGTTTATATTTCTAATTTTAGTTTTAAAAACTTTCTTTTTATTTATTTTGTAACTCAAAAACTATTATTTCCCCAGAGGTTTGGATAAATTTAATCTTTCATCAAATTTTCATTTCAATATTGGATTTAAAAAAATTGAAATAGAATTTCACAAAATGTATCATTGTGAACAGATGATGTGATTTGGTTAATTTATAAAATATTGTGGATTATTGTCCTGATTTTTTCAACATGTGGTGACTGGGGGTTTCCATTTCATATTTTTCATGGGTATAGGATTACATAATAGNAATAAAGGTTTAATTTAGAAAAGGTTTAAAGGTTTAATTTAGGAAAGGTTTATAAAAGTTTAATTTAGGAAAGGTTTAAAAAGGTTTAATTTAGGAAAAATTTATAAAGGTTTAATTTAGGAAAGGTTTATAAAAGTTTAATTTAGGAAAGGTTTATAAAGGTTTAATTTAGGAAAATAAAATTTCCTCCTCTCTGACTATTAAGAAATCTGGGCAGGATAATTCAAGTTCTAGTTCAAGAATAGAATTTCGGCATCATAATCGACTTTTCCTCTCTTGACTTCTAAGAAATCCCGGCAATATACTTGAATTTCTAGATCATCCTGCTAACTTCATATAATCTAATTTATATTTTCAAGGTTTCCATTTGAGATATTTGGAATACAATTTATTCTAAGTGATACATTCCAGGAGATATTTTGAATACAGTTTAATCTAAAGGATTAATTCCAGGAGATATTTGGAAAACAGTTTATTCTAAAGGATTAATTCCAGGAGATATTTGGAATACGTTTCATTCTAAAGGATTAATTCCAGGAGATATTTGGAATACAGTTTATTCTAAAGGATTAATTCCAGGAGATATTTGGAATACGTTTCATTCTAAAGGATTAATTCCAGGAGATATTTGGAATACAGTTTATTCTACAGGATTAATTCCAGGAGATATTTTGAATACAGTTTATTCTAAAGGATTAATTCCAGGAGATATTTGGAATACGTTTGATTCTAAAGGATTAATTCCAGGAGATATTTGGAATACAGTTTATTCTACAGGATTAATTCCAGGAGATATTTGGAATACAGTTTATTCTAAAGGATTAATTTCAGGAGATATTTGGAATACAGTTTGTTCTAAAGGATTATTTCCAGGAGATATTTGGAATACGTTTTATTCTAAAGGATTAATTCCAGGAGATATTTGGAATACAGTCTTTTTACAGGATTAATTCCAGGAGATATTTGGAATACAGTTTATTCTAAAGGATTAATTCCAGGAGATATTTGGAATACAACTTATTCTAGAGGATTAATTCCAGGAGATATTTGGAATACAACTTATTCTAGTGGATTAATTCCAGGAGATATTATTTTAAATACTGTTTATTCTACTGGATTAATTCCAGGAGATATAATTTGAATACAATTTATTCTAAAGGATTAAACTAGGTGTTTAGTAAAATGATATTCGATATCGGGATGATATTTGGAAAATTTTGATATACCGAAGAATAAAGAATAAAATTTAATAAGTTATGCATCAACGGGATGAGGTAAAAATAAAGAATTAATAAAAGAAAAGAAAAAAGGAAAAGGGAAGGAAATCTTAGAAAGATAATTTTGGGAAAAAGTAATAATAAATAGCTAAGATCACAACCGGGGTTATTCTCAGAAAAGGAAAAATATTTTGTGATGTAAAACTTGAAAATTTCTTTTAAAATAAAATCTTGAATTTTAAATATTTTTTTAGACATTTCAAGTTCTTATGACCATGAGGCTTCAAAAAAAGGCCCAAATGGGTTTTATTTTGTAGTCAAAAGAGTTGGGCCTGTTTTTCATTCATTTTGGTTGGTCCTGTCTATGCAATAGAACTGGGGTTAAAAGTGTTTAGTCCTTAAACGAAGTTTATATTTAATGGATTTATATTATATTTAATGTAGCACTTAGAAAATCAAATACACAACAAGATGGGAATATTTGAAATTTAATAAAACTTAATTTATAAAGATGAAAATTTTCACCAAAAGGTTGACGTTTTCATCGAAATGTTATTTTATTAATACTTCAAGATTGATTCTAAAATGTTGAACTGGTTCTAGTAAAATATAAGAATAAAGTTTGGATTCTGAGAAGCCGTGGAGCAATTGTAGGGCCGAGCACAGTTCAGAAATAGATTAGATTTCAAATGTTTTGAGAGTTAAAGGAGCCAGCTAGGTGGGGTTCTCAGAATGACACAGTTGTCATTTCTTGGAAGAAATAGATAGATAGATTCATCCAATAACATTTAGTAAATCATTATTAAATTATCCTGTACGTCCTTTATCTATGAAACATATCGCATTCTTTTCACAAAGTAACTCTTAATCTTGGTATTAATTAACCGTGCTTATATCCAAATATCATTAAACACCCTTGTTATAATTCTTCATGGTTTTTATGTTTTAAATGTTAAAATTTACGCTAGAGCTTAAGTTTTATAAATATGAAATCAAGATGAAAATTTATTAAATAAGTTTTAAAATAAGCTTGGGTCGGAAATTCGGAAAAATGGTAAGTAGTTAAACTAGACGTTATAAGTTCAACTACTTCTGTACTGCAAGCTCAGTCAAACTTAGGAACCTGGAGGACTAGATTAAACCGGCATTAACTAAACTGTGAAAAAGAGGGTTATAACAAAATTTGAACCCAAACTCGGTATTCATTAATCCCGGCCTCATGTATATACTTAAACCAGTGTGCTGTGGATGATTATTTGTTTGTGCACACTTAGGGATCGGCACCATTGCATCATTGTAAAGGATAAAGTTGAGGAATGATACAATACCAGTTCGTAGAATTTATACCGTCATTATATCCCCTGCATACGGGACCAAAGTTGATTTTAAAGTTGCATGAGCGGACAACATGTATCTGGGACCGGATTTAATAAATTTGAGCCAGGTCTAGCTAGACGGTTCAACCACATATCTTGAATCGGTGATTCAGGATTTTCCTTGTCCCGATGCGCCAATATGGTTAAGTATTTGAATTGATAGTAGGTAGTTCAGCTATCAAACTCTAATTCATTAAGTTCGGTCCAAAGAAGTATTATTTCTACGGAGAGGTGGTATAAGGGTTGTGTCTACTTATTACATTATAAAGACAATATC